TTGTTGCCACTGCTAAATATGTATCGTGATACTGGTAGCTGATTTCGCATGTTGTTTGTGAGATGAAGCACAGAGATGTATCTGAAACAGAAAGCTAAAGAATGTCCAAGGTTTTTTGGGTTGTGGACATTTCTCAGGGCTGACCTCTCACCTTTTCTGAGGTGGTCCAGGAGAATGCAGATCTAGGAGTTTGTGTTCATGAGGCTGAGCTCTGCATGTAAAGTGCTTGGAGCCTTCTCAGTGACTGATGAGCACTGATACGGATAGATATACTGGAAATCTGTACATTAAAACACAGTTAGAGGAGTAGACCTCTGTAGACTTTTGGGGTAGGTTTCATTCCAAAAATATGGGGGAATGTTTTTTTTTCTGCATTTACAAGTAAGCAAGATAAGGTTAAACATACAATTCACCAGAGAGTTTTAGCCTTCAAAGAAAGGTACTATCTGTAGAGAATAATAACATTATTGTAGTTTTTGCTTGCAGCTATTGGAAAGCTGTTCAGAACTCCAGAAAAACTGAAATGGAGCATGAAGAGAGGGATTAATAAATAGGCTGCAAGTGAGTAGGCTTTAAATTGACAGGCAGATGCCGTTTCTGTATTAATACGCACCCTTCATGTGAACAAGCAGAGTGGATGTTGTGCATATGGAGGAAAGAGAAGATGAAGCTCTTTTGCATTTTTTGTATTGTGCTAATGAAAATAACACAATAACTTTTCCAGGAAGCAAGTGAATGTTCCAAAGAAGACAAAAATCAATAGCTGTTGTGTTTAGGATTTCCAGAATAGTGAACAATAGGAAGAACATAAAAAAATACCTTGGCTGTTTCAGTTTTATCAAATAACCAGTGTTTTTTCAGTCTTAGTGCCAAGAAAAGTGTATTGGATTTTATCAAGTCTTTTCCCATTTATTGTGAACAATAAACATTCTTTACTTCACAAATACTCCTACAAAATTTATAACAATAAATGAATATTATATAAAGCAGTTCATAGGAAATATATTTAAGTAGAATAGGATTTGAGATTATATATGTATCTTTAAATCTAGAATGCATAATTCTATGGTTCACACAGAGCAAACCAGATTTTATTCTATTTGATCTCTTCGTCTTCTTCTTCCTGTAAATATTCTTGAATATTTCATATAATACTGACGATATAAAGGTGAAGTCTTGTTCTTAGCAATAAGTAGGAAGAATCTGGCTGTTGGATAGCTGAGATTCAATATTCATCTAATACATTCCTAATTTAGGATTTAAAAAAAATAATACAGAATTTATTTTTTGTTTTACTCGCATGTTGGAAAACACTAGTGAAGTGTTTCATTTGGTTAAAATTGACTCCATGGTCCATATGCGGTTTTACTGCTGATGGGCTGCTTCTGGCTGGAGTATATTATTACTTGGCAGTTTTGAAACCTGCCTCCATATCTAAAAGGCTGACTGAATTTACATATGAAGCTTTATAAAACTGCCTTTGAAGATCATGGCTCTTGTAGCTTTTAAACTCAAATGGAAATTGTTGAGTGCTTTTGCAAGATACACAGTACTTCCATTTTTGGTAGAATATTCTTCATAACATTTGGAAATTCAGGTTCTTTTATTGGCTGAACTGTGGAATCAAAATTAATACATTCTTATGTTTTAAAAAAACCCTTACAAGATCATTGCACTTTTGGCAATAAAATTGTTGCTTGATGGACTTGTCTTTTTTTTTGGAATTAGTGACTGTGCATCACTATTATCTCTTTTAAACAGAGATAAAATTTAATTAAGATGAAGGAGATTTGGAGGCATTTGCATTTTTCAGAGAGATACTCACTCCTATTTGGTCCAAGATAATGAATAATAAAATCACTATGTTGCTTGTCTATCTAGGGGTTAGGTGAGGAGTTATTAGTAATTTCTATAAATCTCTGATGAGTATGATGCTCATACAGATTCAGAGACCTTTCTTTGTGATAATAAAAGCTTCTGATGTGATGCAGTAGGAATGCATACTCTTGCTGACTGTTTTTCAGATCTGGTCTCTACAGAATCCAGTGTAGGCTTACTATGTTTTTTGGTTGTTTTTTGAAAATTCTGAAATAAAAAAGTAAAAATAGATTTGTGTGGGGCAGGTCCTCCAAACTGGTGATGTTCAGCTTTACTCAATGCACCACTTTTTTTCAAGGTGAAGAAAAGCCCATGAGAAGCTTGCAGACAAATTAAAAATAAAACTATTGTTCTTTTTTAGGATCTAGTTGGTTTGTAAGCAGCTAAATGTGCTTACAGTTGCCGCCTTCCCTCTGTTATGTCAAATTCTCATCACATCCTTGTTTTACTTAACAAGGCAGGCCTGGAATAAGTAAAAACCAAAACCAAAACCATCCTCTTTGATATTCCAGTAATCTATGCGATGGAGATTTAGGCCAAAGGTGCCTTATTTTGTGTTTATTAACCCTTAATGGATTCTTTTCTCCATCAAATTTGGCCTACAGCTTTCTAACATATACCAACTTCTAATGTATTAACACTTTCAGCTTTCTTTCTGCATGGTGTGAAAGAGAACATCTTCTTGTCTGTCCTGAACCTTGCATGGGCTAGTTTCATTTGATACCATCTTGGTTTAGAAAAGCGTCAGTGTTTGTAGCTTTTTCATGTTCTTGCTACTCCTGATTTTGTAGCCAACAGACCTAGTTAGCGTAGCTGTTTCTTGCACCAAACTTGTTTCACAGTACGGATCATCTTCTTTGTCTTTCTCTTATCCCTTTTTCATTTATTTTATATCTCTTTTTAAAAGGGAAAGAACAGAATGGCACACAGTGTTCATTGTATTATGTCTCATGAGTTAATAAAATGTATGATTTATGGAGATGCTTTGCCCTCCTTTCCTCTCCTAGTAATTTCTAGCATTCTATTTACTTTCTAAACTAACTTATCTGATGTTTTTATAGTATTATTCTAACCCTAAGATCTTGTTTCTGAATTATGTCAGTTCTGAGTCCATCTATTTATGAGTATGTTGATGAGTACAGGCCCCAAACATACTTTTAAATTGTCAAAAGGAAAGTTCTAGATGAGCAGCTGCAGAATTTGGGATGTGAGAAAGTTAACAAATGCATTAGTGTGCATGAACCATGTGGTTTTGTTTGATTATGTCTGCATGTTTCACAGGGCAATTTTAATTCAAAAACATTACATTGATATAAAGCATACAACAAAAATATCTATTACAGATAGAGCCTGCATTCTGTTGAGTATTCCAATGAAGTAAGCCACCGATGAGAATAACTCCAGAATGACGTTTTGCCAACATAAGTCTTGCATTTTTTCTCAGTAGCAAGAATCTCCCCCTCCTCTCCTAAACATAAGCAATTTAGTAGTAGGAAAAATTGGTATTGCTGAGTGAAAAATGGGAGCAGCAGTGCACTGGAGACTTCTGGCTTAGAAATGTAGAGAGGTTAAGTAGTAGGAGTGATGAAAGATTTATTGAACTCTCTTTATCTGGAAAGATTAATAGAACAGAATCAGGAGGTTTACTAGATTTTGAATGAATTAAAGTGTTTAATCTTCAAGTACAAATTCAGTGAAAATATCACCATAATTTTAAAAAAAAAAAAAAAAAGAGTCAAACAGATCTAAAGATCCTCTCTGTTCCTTTGAGACTGGGAAAGGACACCTGCTGATATGATCCAACATTTATATTGAAGATGCTGCTAAAAAAACCCTGGGAATCTAAAGGTTTAATTTTTTTGGTGTGAAAAAAGCTGAGCAAAAGCTGTTTCTCCACTCCCCCAATCATCAGAAAGATCTGTACTGACTGCTTGCAAATGCCGGCAGTTCTCAAAGCTGTTTTTATATTTGGTTTGTTTGTTTGTTTTGTTTTTTGTTTGTTTGGGGTTTTTTAATCATTCTCTCGTCTCTGTTATTTGAATAGTTTGCTTCCTCCTTCTCTGTAGATCTTTTGATTTTCAAACTGGGACTAGTACTGCTTTTCCATATTGCATGAGAACTCCAGAGTAAGCCCCATCAGAAGCTGCCTTCTCCTCATAGCTCAATTCCTTGTGTGCTTTCCTTATTACTTGCTTATCCCTAGCCTCCATTTCATGATATAAATTTTTAACTCAGCCTCAAGATGCCTGTGCTTCCTCCAGTCAGAGCCAGACTTAATCTTCCCTTTATGGTTGGAGTCCACATGGGCTTTATCATATTTTTCTTGTAACCTTTCCACAAAGGAAGATTTTGTTCCACTGTAAGGTCTTATGTTGTTGTTCTAATTGGTATGGCTGATTTGATAATATCCCAAGGTTCAGGGTCATACAGTGCACATTGCACATTGCAGAAACTTGCAGTAATGACAAAGATGGTTTCTGTTGCAATTATTACAGCCTTTCAACAGTAGGTCTCCCATATTAGGTTGAAGTTGCAATTGTCTTCCCTTTTCTTACTTTTATCTACTTATATGTCATTATTTATTGCTGGTTTGGGATGCCTTTTATGTAATTGTGAAGATCACAGGCTCAGTAATGGGATGATGATGTTTAATTAAAATAATTGGTGAACTTGAGCAAAACTTCCTTGGATAGTTTTTGAGAGCTACTTCTGTGATCCGTCTGGCCCAACCACATCATTAAGTTATCATTGATCATTTATAGAGTAGTTGTCTGCTAGAGTTTGGGACATACTTTGAACTGTAAAGAAATATTTATTCCCACTTACTAACTTTCATGGGGCCATGGCAGCTATGCAGTGTCACTAGTCCAGAGTCCTGTGTAAGCCCAACTGATCTGAGTTTTAGGAAGGAGTGCACTATTCCTGACACTATACTTTTAAAAATAGTTTTTCTCTCCAACTACTGATGTAAGATTCCAGATATAGGAAGAAGTCTTCAGAAAATAAACGAAGAGTTAATGCTACCTGGATCTATGAATGACAGCTGCCGACTGGCTGAAGCTATGTGTATGTAATATATACATTCAAGAAAAGGAGTTCATGATGTTCTTGTGTGTCTCTAGGTATCCGGAAAGACCGCAGAGGTGGGCGAATGATGAAACAAAAACGTCAAAGAGAAGAGCAGGATTCCAGGAACGGGGAGGCTTCTTCTACAGAGCTGCGAGCTCCCACCCTTTGGACAAGTCCCCTGGTGGTGAAACATAGCAAGAAGAACAGTCCAGCCCTGTCCCTGACAGCAGAACAGATGGTCAGTGCCTTGCTGGAAGCTGAGCCACCTATAGTTTATTCTGAATATGACCCAAATAGACCATTCAACGAAGCCTCTATGATGACCCTGTTGACCAACCTTGCAGACAGAGAATTAGTGCACATGATCAACTGGGCAAAGAGAGTTCCAGGTAAGAAAAAAAAGAAAAAAAAAGCCCCAGTGGACTATAAAAGCCTCTATATGACAAATGAGTAGAAAAAAGACATACCATTTTCACGCTACATGTTCCAATATCATGCAAATTGCTCACTTAAGTATAAAGACATTTAAAAATCACAAATTTTATGTTATCTTTGTTGATAAAACCCCTGTAGTGCAATGTAGTATGTGATTTTAAAGAAAGATTTATTCAAGAAGAGATATTTCCTCACACTGTAGAATGTTGGACAGTTTTTTAATTGCAGTTTTTTCAGATAAAACCCAGAAAAACTAAAGGTAAAGACAGATTACTAAAAGCCAAATCTAATCAAATTATGTTAATTATTTAGATCCCTTTTTAAAAAAAAGGGTTACTCTCATGTCTGTAATGTAAGCCATAAGTTCAGCATCACTACTGAGCCCATAAGTAATAGCACTGTTTATTTAATTTCCAGGTTATATTTTTGACATAAATTACAGCTCTTCCATGAGTTTTGGGTTTAAAGAAAAGAGCCAGAATAACATTTTTTGATTAAATTTTTTTTTCCTACTGGAACTAGAAGTTTTTACGTTTATCATTTTGATGCATCATAGTTGCTGAGCTATGACCCCTCTTTTCTGTAAGGGAGTTGCAGTATTGTGGGAAGTATGTAACATTTTTGGTTGAACATAGGTTACACATTCATTTGTGGGGTTTAATTAAATTATATCGATGAAATGAGAGAGTAGTTTTCTAATTAAAGGTCCTAATCTTTTAAAATTTCAGTCCACAAGACTACTTTTCATGTTAACTTTTAAATGTTTATTAGAAATTTATTGCACATGCTGTACTTTTAGCTTGGTAAAAATATCGGCATACATGTCAATTTTTATTTTATAATTCACTGGGATTCTGATCTCTTACATTTTTACTGTAGCCATTTATTTTATTAAAATGATGTAGCTGCTTTATGAAGGGATGTTAGAGAGCACTACCACAGCTCTCACTCACATAGTGCATTACCTCAACATTATACCTGGGTTATGCCATTTTTCTGTTTTCCTTCATTTAATCTTGGCAAGACTCTTCCTGGTAAATCAATAACCCATAAAATCTGAGTCTTTTCCAGTCCTCATGGGTTCCCTTTTTACCACTTTTCACATGTCACTTTGTGGGCTCCAGCTATGATCAATGAGAACCTGTGTGTGTTTCATTTCTCATCGTATCTTATAAGAAATCACCTGAGAATTTTATTCTTGACAAAGTCACAGTGGTTAAGGCCTGATCCACACTCTGTTCAAGTGAAGGGTGGGTTTTTCCGTTAATTTAGGTATGATTTGATTCATGACTTTTTTTACTTTTGAAAAATGAACATATGTCCATCGTGTTAAAGCTGTTCACAAACAAAACAGATAAACTCAAATGACTTTTCTACTGATTTCAGTGATATAATAGTCTAGGTCTATTAAAACCCATTAATTTACATTTAACATGAGTATACCACATTCTAAATTCATTATGTTGTCTAACTGGAAACATCTTCTATGACATTTGATTTTGATAGTTAATGGAATTAATGAAAATGTGTTTAGATACAAAACAACACTGTTAGGGAACTAAGATCTGGTTTTTATTCCAAAATCTCTCTAAAACTGCTTGTCACAAGATGATTACATATGGTGAAGATCAAAAAACTGCCTGGTTTACAAATACGCCCTTTATTTCCGACACAAGCTTCTGAAATTTGAAAATTAAACGAGTAAGGTTATCAAGTATTTGTGTATATCCAAGGTATTAAATGTGTGTTAACAGCCAAAATAGCTCCTAAGGAGAAACTAAGCCAAATTGACTCTATGTATCTGCATTAATAAATACTCTAACAGGTGAAGTTTGATATAAAACTAGTGAACTCTGGTTAAAAACACCCCCAAAAGTTCCTTCCCAGTCACAGTTTGATTTATTAGGCACTGTACAAACAATTATACCAAAGGAAAGTCCTAAAGCAGAAGATACACAATATGAATAGTCTGGGGATTCTGAAAGTGCTGGACACCTAGCTGGTTCTTGGTGTTGTGACTTGAAGGACTGTATGCATGACCAAAAGCAGAAATTAAAGTATTTTAGAAAGTTGGTTAAAAAGAATTCAGTCCCAGTTGTTTACCTACCTCTAAAATTAGGCCCTCTGAGAGTAAGATTTTTAAATCTTTTGGATCTCTCATCTGGTCCCTAGAAAAGGTTGACTGTTCTTAGCTGCTGATATTACGTCTTAGAGGTACTGATTACCTTTCAAATTTAGGGCCTTTGCTTGGACTGTTTGACTAAGTTTCCTTCTGCTGAAGTGTTCTGGCAATAAATGTACATTAAGAGAAACGTGTCTGGCAATATAAGTTGTATTTTCATCTCCACAGTATGTTGCCTTTGAATGCTCCACTATTACTAGGAATTATGTAATACTGCTTAATTAGAGAGGATTTTTGTATATTTATGCATAAGCAGAGAAACTGAATAACTTTTTTCTGTTACATGAAGTATTTTGTGCAACAGCATTGTGGGATTCCACTCAGTTATTTTCTCATCTAATTTACTAAGGTTTCAAGCTTCACAGTCAAGAGTAAAACCATCTTTTTCTAAAAAGCCAATGTGCCTTTTACTAGTAGCCAAAAGCAGCTGCAGGAAACAGCCTCCCCTATACACACCTCTCAAGCCTTGGAAGAATTGCACAGTTTCATTTAGCTAATGCAGGCACTTAGCTGACAGAAAGCAAGGAGTGAAGTCAATACAAGTGGCTGGGTTGAAAGCATATTTGTTGAAGAAGGAAGAAGTTGATATTACCAGAGAAGAAATACAATGAAGATGCAGCTTACAAATAAGTGTAAGGACTTTCGGGGACATGTTTGGAGTTTATTTTGCTGTGTAGGCTTTAAAGAAGAGGGAGTGTGTCAAAGCAACTAGTAAAGGCATTGCTTTGGTCAGCCAGTCATTTTGAAGATGTAAATGGCATGGAAGAAGAAACAGCAAATTAGAAGATGACCTGGATAGAAATAAATCTTTTCAACAAAAAGGAGAAATGAGAATTAATTTATGATGGACTGTGTAGTATAATGTAGGCAGAGATCTGTTACAAAGACATGCTGAGAACAATCTCCAAAATGAGGTATTTTTGCAGGCACGACCTGCTTCAGAAGGTGAGAACAGGTCTAAATCTTTATTGCAACTTGTTCAGCATTATTTCAGACTTGCTTAAATTGACTCTGCAGTCTTCCCCGGTTAACAAGTCACTGGGGAAAAGAGAATTTGTGGCAGCTTCTTGTGCATAACCTTTAGAAATGATCTTCAGTATTTAAGTACAACATGATTGTTAACTAAGGTCATAACAATATTCTCCCATGACAATGCAATTCATAAGATGCCAAGTGCATAAAAGCTTTTTTTATTTCCTTTGAAACCTTGGCCACTGATACAAGTGGGTTTGCCAGATTACATGAACAAAAATCTTGTACAGTTGTCCTATGACATATACAAAAAATTCAGATGCCCCACAGGACTTGCTCTTTCCATGGCCTAACGGGAATTTTGGCTTAAGTCCTCCCAGATGGCCTCTGTAAGACACCAGTGGTGCCTTCTGATTATCCCAGACAGCTGGCATAGCAAGCAGCTGCACAGAAGGTGGGTGCAAACTTAACATACACACTGAGTCTTTTACCGTCTAATTGGGACAAATCACTAAAAATCACATGTAGGTAAGGCATCAGCACGGATGAATAAATGTTCTGCTCATTTCTGAATCACATATTCCTGAAAGATATGCCTTTCTCTTTTCTTCTTGGTTTACATAACATCTTGGGGATATAGTACTACCTTCAGTACTATATATATACATAGTATATACATATTCTATACATAGAATGAGGTTTTAGAGTTTAGTGAATTTTCATCATGGTATCTGATACAATTAGCAAAACCATTACTTTGTTTTCCTACAGAAATACTGATATGTCAAAGGAATTAACTTATTGTCTTTCATTATTCACTTACCATGTATATAATTTAACATCTGTATTTGGAGTACTGTATTCTCCAAAGGAAGCAGGTATTTTCAGTGTAATCGTCAGTAATTTTTTTTTGTGCAGAAGTTCTTGAGATGGTAAGAGACATTACGAGTTTATACAGTGAGCTCATGGTAGAGAGTGTAGCTTTAAGGAAAATGTGTCTCAAGGGTGAAATCTTTGGCACTGCTGCTACAATCTTGTATAACTATTTACTACAAGTACAGTAGCTGTACAACTTAATAGCCCTAAAATGGTACGCTGGGCATACAAGCTTTGAAGTTTTGAGGTGATTCACGGTGCTGTACTTATTTTATGGCTTCATGAACCGAGGAGATAAACATTTTGGCTCTGATTTTTTTATTTCAAAGCCATAGAAGTTACTATTTTCTTAAGATATTGTTTTCCTATTTGACCTTCTAAACTGCTCTGTTTGTTAAATTAGGAACAGTGTGTAAAGAGGCCAACAATAGCCACAGTTTTCAGTGACACCAAACCTTGAAAAAAAAAAAAAAAAAGTCATCTTGCAGTGGAAGGAAAGAAGTGTTATACGAGAGAGGTGTGTATTCATAACCCTTTAGGTGCAGGACAGTTTACAGAGATTCTAAATGTAGTGATCCTCCTGGCAATAATTTACACAACTTAAAAAAAGGAATGGCTTGCAATTCCTGTAATAATTTTCAGTAAACCTTTCAAAATACCTGCTTTAAAGTTTCTCCTCCCTTGACTAATGGGCTTGCTGTGGAGATTTGTAAAATGTTATTAAAAAAACCACCCCTCTGCTTATCTGTTTAATCTGTTGAAGTGATACTCTGACTGCTCCCCTGACTTCATAGAGGGAAAACAGAGAAAGCAAATAGATCTGTAACCAAAAAAGAAAAGATAAGCATCTGGATCTTACTCTGACTCAGTCCTGGGCCTCTTACTCATTCCCAGGGCTCATGCTGGAGGACAGTAATTTGCTGA